GGGCTATACAAGGAGACCCTATCTTAAGAAAAGAAAAAGAGTACTATAGTGTTAAATTGTTGAATTTGAATTGGAAATATCATTATGAATCATGGTTTCAAAAATATATTTTCTAGCGCTTATTACTGAAAGAGCTAGAAGCATTGGGATCCAAAATTACACTGAGCACATCTAGTACTCAGATTTGGTTTCTTCTTTTTTTTTTCTTTCTTGAGATAAAGTCTCACATTGTTGACCAAGCTGGAGTGTAATAGCGTGATCTTGGCTAACTGTAACCTCCACCTTCCAGGTTCCAGTGATTCTCCTGCCTCAGCCTCCTGAGTAGCTGGGACTACAGGTACGTGCCACCATGCCTGGCTAATTTTTGTATTTTTAGTAGAGATGAGGTTTCATTAGGTTGGCCAGGCTGGTCTTGAACTCCTGACCTCATGATCCACCTGCCTCAGCCTCCCAAAATGCAGGTGTGAGCCACGGCACCCAGCCTCAGATTTTGTTTCTAAAGACCATTCCCCAACATTCCCCATTCCCTAACAGGGATCCTTAGAGAAATTCTAGGTCTCGGGCAGGGAGAGTACAGGAGGGCGTAAAGCAAGGACAAAATGGGTAAGTGGGGCAGCCAGAGCAGGCATGGAGGGCCATGGTTGAAAGGCCACAGGAGCTGGTCAGAGGGCTTCCACCCAGACAGTTAGAATGTTGGAAAAAGAATGCAGCTGATTGTAACACAATGACTAAGTAAAAGTCCATGAGTGTAGAGTGATACCGAGATACAAGAAGAATGAAGACAGAATGCCAGCTAAGAAATATAAAAGCAGTGACAGAATTATCAAAATTATCATTATGCAATTCCCAGTGTAAGTCTTCATTGTAAACTTTTTCACAATAAAATGATGGGAGAATACAACTGTATTAAGAGAAAAAAGGCAATGTTTTTGGTTCTTGATGAAGCTTAAGTGTTTCCTTATTTGACGGAAATCTCTGCCATGTTTTTGTAACCAAATCTGCTGGTACCACTTGAGTTCTCAAGACTAGTCTTTTGATACTATGAATATTACAGGGTTATTATATGAAGTAATTATTTCCAAGGAAAACATGTTAATTTAGCAGCTTCCTAGATTTAGATTCACTTTATATTTCTGAGCTCCCATCATAGGCCGGACACTGTGCTAGCCATTTCTACATCCGTTACCTCACTTCATTCTTAGCGTAACCCTGAGAATTAGGTCAGATGAGGTGACTGAAGCTCAGAGAGGTCAGATGCTGTGTCCAATGACAAGCATCAGTAAGTGTGAAAATGAGAGTTCGAGCCCAAGTCTTCTGGGCCCCAGGTCCTTTCCCTTCTCATAGCGTTTGTTCTGTCCCATGGATTAGCTCAGCAGGTAGCTTCAGGGGCTTGTTTTCAGGGCCTATGAAAGAGGAAAGCATGAAAACACAAAGGTGGAACCAAGGAAGACCAGGAGGGAGAGGAGAGGCTACCCAGATGTCTCACAATAGTGCACATTTTGATTAAATGACATACTTGGAGGAAATGTTCCTTAGTACGTAAAAGCTGACATTTTGTTGTATTGGGAAAAAAAGTTAGCTAGAAGAAAACATATTTGCTTTTTTTTTTCTCTCATATCAGAGGGAAGAGAGAAGACATTTATAGTTCCTAAAATAACCTTAGTAGTATAATTCTTTCATACTTAATATGTAAATGATTAGATCAAGCAGGAAGAGGGCTGTGACTGCTTTAGTGCAAGGCAGAGGTTACACTAGGCTCCCCTGGAAAACTGACCTGGGCTCCAACTGTACTCATGATGGAAAATCTCAGGAGGCCACTGCAGACAGCAGTGTTAACACTTTGGTTTCTTTTAATTTTTTAAAAACAAAACACCTAGGAACAATTTAACCAAAGATGTGAAATATATGTACAAGGAAAATTGTCAAACACTGATGAAAGAACTTGAAGAACACACAAAAAATGAAAGGATATTCCATGCTTATGGATTGGAAGAATTAATATTTTTTAAATGGCAATACTACCTAAGGCAATTTACAGATTCAATGCAATCCTGTCAAAATATCAATGACATTCTTCACAGAAATAGAAAAACACATCCTAAAATTTATATGGAACCACAAAAGACTCTGAGTAGCCAAAGTAATCCTGAGCAAAAAGAATAAAGTGAAATACCACACTACCTGACTTCAAAATATACTGCAGAGTAACCAAATCAGCAGGATACTGACATAAAAGCAGACACATAGACCAGTGGAGCAGATTAGGAAACCCAGATACAAATGCATGCATTTGCAGCCAACAAAGGTGTCAAGAACATACGATGGAGAAGGGACAGTCTCTTCAAAAAATTTGTGCTGGGACTGGATGCAGTGGCTCATGCCTATCATCCTAGCCCTTTGGAAGGCTGAGGTGAGAGGATCACTTGAGACTAGGAGTTTGAGACCAGCCTGGGCAACATGACAAGACCTTATCTCTACAAAAAAAAAAAAAAAAAAAAAAGCCGGGTGTGGTAGCTTGTGCCTGTAGGTCCAGCTGCTACTAGGGAGATAGTAGGATCACTTGAGCCCAGGAGTTCAAGGCTGCAGTGAGCTATGATCATGCCACTGGACACCGGTATGAGTAATAGAGTGAGACTCTGTCTCAAAAAAAATTGTGCTGGTAAAACTGGCTAACCATATGCAGAAAAATGAAAGACCCATATTTCTTAATATATATAAAAATCAAAGGAAATGGATTACAGACTTAAGTCTAAGATCTGAAACTATGAAACCGCTAGCAGAAAATGTTGGAGAAATGCTCCAGGACATTGCTCTAGGCAAAGATTTTTTTGTGTTAAGACCTCAAAAGCACAGGCTGACAAAGGAAAAATAGACAAATGGGATTACCTCAAACTAAAAAGCTCCTGTTGCACAGAAAAAGAAAGTCAACAGATAACCCACAGAATGGGAGAAAATACTTGCAATACTTGCAGATTAATCCGTCTGACAAGGGATTAATAGCCAGAATTTGTAAGGAGCTCAAACAACTCAATGGCAAAAACCCAAATAATCCCATTTAAAAGTGGGCAAAAGATCTGAAAAGACATTTCTCAAAAGATGACATACAACTGGCCAACAGGCATATGAAAAGATACTCCACATCACTGATCATCAGAGAAATGCAAATGAAAACCGCAATGAGCTATTTCACAAATATTTCACAATGAGCCATGAATTAGAATAGCTTTTATCAAAAAGACAGGAGTAGCAAAGGCTGGCTGCCACATGCGGCGGCTCACACCTGTAATCCTAGTACTCTGGGAGGCCGAGGTGTGTGGATCACCTGAATTCAGGAGTTCAAGACCAGCCTGACCAACATGATGAAACCCTATCTCTACTAAAAATACAAAAATTAGCTGGGTGTGGTGGCGGGCGCCTGTAATCCCAGACTCGGGAGGCTGAGGTAGGAGAATCGCTTGAATCCTGGGGCATGGAGGTTGCAGTAAGCTGAGATCACACCACTTCATTCCAGCCTGGGTGAAAGAGCAAAACTCTCTACAAAACAAAACAAAAAAAACCCAAAACGCAAAACAAACAGAGGCTGGCCAGGATGTGGAGAAAGGGGAACCCTAGTACACTGTTGGTGGAAATGTAAATTAGTACAGTCACAGGGGAAAACAGTATGGAGATTCTTGAAATAGTATATGATCCACTACTTGATATATATTCAAAAGAAAGGAAATCAGTATATCAAAGAGATATCTACACTCCCATGTTTTTGTAGCACTATTCACAATAGCCAAAATGTGGAATCAACTTAAGTGTCCATCAATGCATGAATGGAAAAAAAAGGATGAATGGATAAGGAACACACACACACACACACAGAGGAATATTATTCAGCTGTAAAAAAGAATTAAATCCTGTCATTTGCAGCAGGATGGATGGAACTAGAAGACATGTTAAGTGAAATAAGCTTAGAACAAAATGACAAAGATTGCATGTTCTCACTCACACATGGGAGCTAATATAGTGGATCTCATGAAAATAGAGAGTAGGCTGGTGGTTATCAGAGGCTGGGAAGGGTAGGAGGGAGAGGGAGATAAAAAGAGGTTGATTAATGGGTACAAACATACACTTAGAAATAAGACTTGGTGTTCAGTAGATCAGTGGGGTGTCCGTAGTTGACACTAATCTATCGGATGTTTCACAATACCTAGAAGAGAATAATTCAGTGTTCCTAGCTTAAAGAAATAGTTGCCCAGGCCGGGCGTGGTGGCCCAAGCCTGTAATCCCAGCACTTTGGGAGGTCGAGGTGGGAGGATCACTTGAGCCCAGGAGTTTGAGACCAGCCTGGCCAGCATGGCGAAATGTGGTCTTCTCTAGTAAGAATACGAAAATTAGCTAGGTGTGGTGGCATGTGCCTATAATCTCAGCTACTCAGGAAGCTGAGGCAGAAGAATCCCTTGAACCGGGAGATGGAATTTGCAGTGAGCTAAGGTCGCGCCACTGCACTCCAACTTGGGCGACAAGTGAGACTCCATCTCTGGATGTGATTATATGAATGTATCAGATTATCACATGTAATCCCAAAATATGTTCACCTAATACGTATCAATTACAAAATAAAACTTAAAAATCTATTTATATATATGAATTTTTTTGCCTACTCAGGAGCTAACTGGCTGATTGACAGAAAACACACTTCTCTTATTTCTTTACACTTGGGTAACCATTTTCTGAAAGGTGTTTCTATGGAAGTTCTGGCTGTAAACTTGGTCTCATTTAAGAGCCAACTGACAGTGAAGCCCTGCCAGTGCATTCTGCATGTTTCCAGCGTCTTTTGATCACTTACTTCCACAGGTCAATGATTTGAAAATGGATGTTAGAACTAAATTTCAGAGTTTCTGGACTTTGTCTTCATTCTGATTTAAAAGAAGCAAATTCTCTTGCTTTTCATCCATGTGGTTTTTTAAATCTTAGGAACAATCATTCTGAAAGTGGTTTCCTTTTTCCTCCAGACAAGGCGCCCCTGTCGAAGAGCCTTCTGCTGGTGCCCAGTGCCCTCTCCCTCCTCCTGGCCCTTCTCCTGCCTCACTGCCAGAAGCTCTTTGTGTATGACCTCCACGCAGTCAAGAATGACTTCCAGGTGAGCTCTGCCTCACTGGCCCCTCGGAAGAGAGAGGACAGTTTTTTTTTTTTTTTTTCTCTAGATTTGCTTTTTCTTCCTACTATTAGTCCCTCAAAGCCCCCAGTTTGTAAGAAATATTTATTATTAATATTTCATTAAGAAACTTTTCTAGTTGTATTTATTGAGCAAAGCAGAGAATAATGAAGCAATGGCAGTATTTCCTTTTATTAGGTATATTTGTTTTCAGTTTCACTTTTTACTGAGAGAAATGCAATTTATAACTTCAAGGGAATTAAAAACAGTGCTAAATCTTTTTTTAATGTTCAATATGCATACTTAGCTTTGCCAAAACCTTGTCTCAATTTGAATATTTGCTTACAGGAGCTAGGCTCTGTCAGCTGTATCAGATTATGAATTTATGATACTTTTACAGTGATGGTTAAATGAAGTAGGAAATTTCTCTTGAGTTTCTGCTATGGGAAGGAGCAGAAGTTGTGGTTTTCAAGGTTTCTAGACTGATCTCGTTGAAAATACTGGTGCTGGGTTCTTGTGTATGAATTGGAGTGGTAGTAAAAATTCTAGTATATGACTGCCATGCTTTCTTTGCTTAACACAAACCCATTTTAGCATAATAATCCATTTCTTGAACACTGACACCTTTTCTGCATAGTGATGTAATTAATACCATTTCTCAAATTGGCTTCAGCTTCCTGTGCGGGTCTTTCAGTTATTTATCCATATTACTGATTTCTCAGAAGATAGTATAGCTTCTGTATTATTTCAGTTGCTATAATGCAGCCGTTCTCAACACTGGGCGCACATTAGAATCACCTGGAAAAACTTAAGAGATCTGTCTCCATATCTACACTTATGTATAGGTATAATTTATATCTAGATTTATATAAACCCAGTATCTCACCCCAGAACAACAGTCAAAGAGTCTGGTGGTGGGACCTGGACATTGCCGTCTTTTTAAAAACAACCCCCAGGGGATTCTAGTGTATGGCCGGCTTTGAGGACCACTAATGTAAGGGGCCCCGAGCCTTGGGTTGGTACCTTCCTAATTTCTGGAGTTAATTTGGTTCATTTGGCTAAGCCCACTCTGTGGGCATCTGTGCTTTAAAGGTGGTGACCTGCTTGGTTAGAAGAGGACCACTCTACTGTCCAGGAATGGGAATAGCCACATCAACATTGCCACTGTTAAAACACCTAAGAGGCTCTCAGTGTGTATTCATGAGAGATACGGGAGTTTCAGTTCTGCCTTGGGAAATCTAAACACACATATACATGTAAGAACATGAGTCTGTAGGACACAGGTGTACATGACATCCTCGGGGGCGATAAAGGAAGTAGGGACCCGTGTTGGGGCATAGCTCTGGAGAGTCTGAGGGATGTGAGCTTTCAGTTTGGTCTGAAAGAAGGGGTGACTGTGAATTAGCAGTGAAGAGGGAGAAGGGCATTTTACTTCAGGAAGTAACGTGAACTTCAGACCCTTAGGAGTATGCTACAGGATGCATGTTTTGAGATGAACCCAGGATAAGTCCAAGAGGGGCAGTTGATGAAAGGCTTTATATTGCAAGTTCTGAATCTCCCAGATTTTGGCAATTAATGCAAAGGTACAGTCAGTTTTCTTTAGGTTGAGTTGCAGAAGCAGTGCTTTGCTGAGTGCAAGCCAGTTATCAGTCTTTAGGGGGCATTCACCTGCATAATAATATGCAGTGGTTTATTCTTATACCATCTCTCACAGTTTTGTGTCCTTGAGCATGATTGTAACACATACATTATTTAAAACTGTAGCTGGCAGCTTTATTTTCATTAACTGGAAAAAATGGGGTTCTAGAAATGCAGTTAGTTGTATTTTAGCAATTGTAAAGTCTCAATTTCCTTAATCCCCAGATTTTCTTAGTGGCTCTCAGAGCTTGTCCCTGAGTATTTTCATTGTAATATTAAATGTGGGGATAGAGGACTTGGAGCTGCCTCTTACGGTTTTTGAATCTGGTATTCTGCAGAGATGACAGCCATCATCATCTGACACTGGTAAAGTACTTGACAGCTTCATATGTGCTCTCACGTGTACTGCTTCATTGATCATATTGATGGACGTATATGCAGCCTGAAGTTTCAGTGTGACTCTGGTACTGTTTCTCCTTGAGCCCAGCTATGGCCTCAATACAGCCTGGTAGGCAGCCATTCTCAGGTCAGCTGGGCTGGCGGCTGAGATGAACTCTGGTGGCTAGTAAAATCATGACAAAGACTCTGCCTAGTGTCTTGATTGGAGTAGAAACATATATGACATGTTTTGACAGTTGATATGGTTAGACTTCTTATTTGTATTCTTATTTCTGTTGGCAAGAGCACAGGTTATATGACTTTAGACAAATTCTCTGTGCCTCTTTTTCCTTATCTTAAGACAGAGTTGGCTGGGCGTGGTGGCTCATGCCTGTAATCCCAGCACTTTGGGAGGCCAAGGCAGGCAGGTGGATGGATTGCTTGAGCCCAGGAGTTCAAGACCATCCTGAGTAACATGGCAAAACCCCATCTCTACAAAAAATACAAAAATTAGATGGGTGTGGTGGTGCATGCCTATAGTCCTAGCTACTCAGGAGGCTGAGATGCAAGTATTGATTCAGTTCAGTAGGTTGAGCCTGCAGTGAGATGTGATCATTTAAGACCCTGTCTTAAAAAAAAAAAAAAAAAAAAAGGAGTTAACATTACCAATGTTCACAGCAGCATTATTCACAGTAGCAAAAAGGTAGAAACTCAAATTATACATACCGTAGAATACTATTCAACTATAAATGAGAATGAGATTTATACATATTTTACTATGAACCTTGAAAATACGCAAAGTGAAATGAGCAAATGTAAAAGGAGAAATATATGATCTTACTTACATGAGGTATCCAGTATAAACAAACTCATAGAGACATAAATAGAAAATTGTTTCCTGGGGCTAAGGCAGGAGGGAGCAGGGAGTTAGCACAGCGTTTCTGTCTGGGATGATGAAGAACTCTGAACATAGATAGTGGTGATGGTTGTATAACGTTGTGAATTTGCTTAATACCACTGAATTGTTTACTCAGGAGTTAAAATCATAAGTATCATATCTGTTTTACTACAATAAAAATACAAAGAAAAGGTGGGATTAATATTTGTTTTACCTATCACATAAGGTAATTGTGAAGAGGAAATAAGATTAGAATGTTTGTTCAGTATCATTGGGATTATCTTTAAAAATCGGAAAAATGTTTAAGCAGACTCAAAATAGGCTGTTGAGTAGCTCCTTTTTTTTTTTTTTTTTTTTTTTTATTTTTTCCCCTTATTTTTTTTTTTTGCAACTAGAAGTTGGGTGAAACAATGATTTAAATAAAGTAATATTTCAAACAGAGTCATATTTAGCAGCAGTTACCATAAATTACTTTCTGCATAGTTGCTATGAAGTAGGTTGATGATTAAAATTAAGCTCAGAAATGTATATTTTTGAGTTTATACCTAAGTTGTTTTTCAGTTACAAGTTTGTCTTATTCAATAGTATAAAAATGAACATTTGTTATCCATTCATTCTACCTTATGTATATACTTTTAAAAAACTTACCAAACACAATCCTAAAATTTCTTACAGGCAGTTTTTGGTTAATGAGAGTATGTTTTCTTATTATAAGCACAAAAAAAATGCAAGTACTTTTTGTGCTACTGTTGGAAGAAACTTTTACTGTGAGAGACTTGAACATGTTTCTTAGAGAATATACATATATAGTTTTCCTTTTGTGTGTGCATTATGATTTTGTTGAGAGTATTCAAAATAGGCAGTGTAAACATGATAAATTTGCTAAGGAACATAACTGAACAACCTTACCCTTGTTTATTGTTCTTTTTTAAATCCCATCTAGATTTGGAGGTTGATATGTGGAAGAATAATTTGCCTTGATTTGAAAGATACTTTCTGCAGTAGTCTGCTTATTTATAATTTTAGGATATTTGAAAGAAGATATGGAAGCAGAAAATTTGCAGTAAGTTTTTATGTATTTTGCCCTTGCTGCTTAGGCTATAGAAAAAAATTTTGTTTAAATGGGTTTTATTTTGTTAAACTTGGTGTTATTATTTACAATTGTCTTTTTAATTAATTCTGTATCTGATTTGAGGCACATGGACATTAACCAAAGAAAATTTTAAAATGTAAGATACTAGCATAATAATAATGATGATAATGTGTTATATTATTTGTGAATAGCTAATACAAATTTTAATACTTTGACTTTAATAAAATTATAATTTATTTTGCATAGTGGTTTGTGTTTTAGTTAAAAAATATATCTTCAGCATACTTAAAAATTACAGATATTAATACATTTGAGCAATATGGTTTTACTACGCCCATTTTCAAAAATCCGTTTTAATATAAACAAGTAATTTTCATCATTTGTTAGCCTTTCTTTCTAGCTTATGTGTGTAATTTTAAAAAATCTTACTAAACACAATCCTAAAATTTCTTACAGGCAGTTTTCTGTTATCTTAATGAGAATATGTTTTCTTAATCACAAAAAAAAATTCAAGTACCTCTCGTGCAACTTGCACGAAACACATACACACACACACACACACACACACACACACACACACACACACGAATACATACACACCCCTGAGCTCATTCTAGCTGAATAAATGTTTCTTTATTTTTAGGAGACTCATCTCTATAATTTTTCTGCTGTTTTATTTTGTAGTCCTTTTTGCTGGGTTCCTGGGTTTTGTCAGCCTTATTTGACCTCCTCCTCGTTGAAGCTATGCAGTATTCCTTTGGCATCACTGCAGCTAGTAATTTGCCTTCTGGATTGTAAGTAGCGCTTAAAGATTGACTTAATTTAGAACTACTTGAATCTGATATAAAGTATTATTATATGTGAAAGTCAGTAAAAGAATATTTTAAACTTCTAGATATAGTAAAATTGATTTCATATGTAAAAATGTCCAATATATGCCTACATTTTCATTATGTTCTTGAAATAGAATCAGTTTTACATTAATTTTTTAAAAATTATTTTTGAGACAAAGTCTTGGTCTGTCACCCAGGTTGGAGTGCAATGGCGCGATAAACCTCTGCCTCCTTGGTTTAAGGGATTCTCCTGCCTCAGCCTCCTGAGTAGCTGGGACTAAAAGGCACATGCCACCATGCCTGGCTAATTTTTGTATTTTTTTAGTACAGACAGAGTTTCGCCACGTTGGCTGGGCTGGTCTTGAACTCCTGACCTCAGGTAATCCACCTGCCTCGGCCTCCCAAAATGCTGGGATTACATGTGTGAGCCACTGCACCTGGCCACACTAGTTTTTTTTTTTTTTTTTAGCTTTGAAATTTTGTGTTTTGGAGAATTTCTTAAATGAATTTCCTATTCTGGTCCTGATAGAATTCATTTTGTGTGTTTTTATAGTGAAATTTGTCTTTGTAATTTTATGAACTAAACACAAAAATATAAAGTTTAATTAGATTAGGAAACAAAATTAATTTGTTTGAGGTTAAGCTTCTGAAGAATGATTTTTTAAAAGCTGATAATATTTTATACACTTCCATCAAACATAAATTAAAGCCAGCGTATAGGTTATAACTTTGTAGACAACCTGCAGAATGTGTATGCTTTCATATTACGTTGATCTTTAAAAAAACAAAAAACATGTATTAGTGTGTGAAGTAACTAGAATCTAGGAGCAGAGTTGGCAGAGTAAGATTCCATCTCAAAAAAAAAAAAAAAAAAAACAGGCTGGGTTTGGTGACTCATGCCTCTAATCCTAGCACTTTGGGAGGCTGAGGCAGGCAGATCATGAGGTCAGGAGTTGAGACCACCCTGGCCAGTAAATATAAAAATTAGCTGGGTGTGGTGGCACGCGCCTGTAGTCTCAGCTACTCTGGACGCTGATGCAGAAGAATTGCCTGAACCCAGGAAGCGGAGGTTGCAGTGAGCCGAGATCGCATCACTGCACTTCATCCTGGGTGACAGAGCAAGACTCCATCTCAAAAGCAAACAAACAAAAACCAAAAAACCATATATTGGTGTGTGAAATAACGTGAATCTAGGAGCAGAGTTGTTAGCACATATAAATGACCTCCAAGCATCTGAATTAAGTATCTGAGACACTATTTGGGAAATAAGGTAGTATGAAATGTAGACACCAAATATTCAAAATTCAGTGTGTACTATCTTCATTCTTCTTTTAATTTTAAATATGTGTTTTGAGAACTATTAAGCTGCTGTATGTATCTTGATTCAAATTCACTTTGAATCCCTATTTAAAAATTAGTGTTCTAGTAAGTTTCATACCTGCATTGTTAATATTTACAGTGTAGCTGCCCTTTGTGAATTATAGTTGGTATGAATATCCATGAATGTTGACCTTTAGCTATTTTATTAATGTATGATTCTGAATAATATTTGAATGGAGGCATAAAGTTCTGTGTCATAATTAGCATGTAGTTTGAATTCCACAGGTGGTCATTGTAATTAGACTGATAAGTTAAGTTGACTATTCTGTTGTGGAAAATAGTGTAGTCATCAGGAATGATTCCACATTGATTCAGGAAAGCAGCAGCATTGCTAAATCATCAGTTTTCCCCAAAACATCTGTTATCAGGCCAGTTCTTTTTGGTTCCCTGTACAGCCCACTGAGTGATAGGAGGTGTGTATATCTGTGTTAGAATAAATTTTGGAGATGGATAGTAACTTAGCATTAATTCTTATTTACACTGTCCCCTTGTCTGATGACAATTCTTTTTCCTGCTGTACAGAAAATTGAATGACAATAGAACCTTCATATTCATTTATTTAATTAGGAATCCTGTTAACTAGCACATAAAACAAAGATTGATTCGATTTTGAAGTTGATGGGAATATTTTTGCTTACTCTTAGAAAAGAGAAGGAATTTACATACTTAAATCTCAGTTTGTAGCTTGTAGCAAGAGTTACAAACTTGAATAAATTGTAACATTGTAGCATCCCCTTTGAAAGACACTATAAATGTTAACTCAGCCACATCCTGAATGAGAATATCTCTCTTTTCAAGTCACAAAACATTACAGTATATAGTATGACTTTTTTTAATCTTGAGGCTTTCTCAAACATAGACTTCTTGGAACACAGTTCAACAAGTAAACTTTGTATTCTGTAAATATATCTCTTAAAAACATTATTATTATTTGGTAGAGAAAAGATTTTGCTATGTTGTCTAGGCTGGTCTTGAATTTCTGGGCTCAAATGATCCTCCTTTCTCGGCCTCCCAAGGTGCTGGGATTGCTGGTGTGAGCCACTGTACCCAGCCACAAATATATCCTTTATGGAAATTACTGTTTCTTTGTTTAAATCAATGTGCTTCATGGACACAGGGAGGGGAACATCACACACCGGGGCTCGTCAGGGGGTGTGTGAGAGCATTAGGACAAATACCTAACGCATGCAAGGCTTAAAATGTAGATGACGGATTGATAGGTGCAGCAAACCACCATGGCACATGTATACCTGTGTAAGAAACCTGCGCGTTCTGCACATGTATCCCAGAACTTAAAGTTAAAAATAAAAATAGCAATGTGCTTTACAATTTGCAGTGTTTTTCACCTAATATCTAATATTTTTCTTCTCCATCAGTACCAAATTTATCTGCACTCTCTGAAGTTTTTTTTTGTTTTTGTTTTTTGAGATGGAGTCTTGCTCTGTCCCATGATCTGGAGTGCAGTGGCATGATCTCAACTCACTGCGACTTGTGTCAACTGGGTTCAAGTGACTCCCTTGCCTCAGCTCCTGAGTAGCTGGGACTACAGGCGCGCACCACCATGCCCAGCTAATTTTTTGTATTTTGGTAGAGATAGGGTTTCACCGTGGCTAGGATGGTCTCGATCTCCTGACCTCGTGATATGCCCACCTCGGCCTCCCAAAGTGCTGGGATTACAGGTGTGAGCCACTGCACCTGACCTACAGTTCTTTACTTCCTATTCTCTTTTTTATTTGTAACCTCACCACTGTAGGAACTTCTCTTATAATGGTCACCAGTGGCCACCTAATTTCTAAAGCCACTGGTCATCCTATTTAATCTTTCAGTAGCATATTAAATGCTTTTAACCTCTCCTTATTTCGTGAAACTGCCTGCTCTCTTGAGACCCACAAACTACTCCCTCCTAGTTCTTATCAACCTTAGTTACTGCATACAGCTCTTTTCTCAAGTTTTTTTGGGCTATCTTGCCCACCCTTTTGATTTCAACTACAGTGAACATCTGTTGTTTGCTTCCCAGCTCTCAATTTCCAATCCATATTACTCTCCTGATCTTTCTGGAGTCTTATTTCTTTTCTTTCTTTTATTTTTAGAAATGAGGTCTTATTCTGTTGGCCAGTCCTGGAGTACATTGGTGAGATCATAGTAGCTCACTGTAACCTCAAAAAAACTACTGGGTTCAAGCAATCCTCCCAGCTCAGCCTCCTGAGTAGCTGTGATTATAGGTGTGCC